CTGGTGACACTTTCCTCTGTGTACGGATTAGGACCACGTTACCAATCTGCATTTCAACATGGTACCAGAGGTACTGTGAATTAACCCTAAGGTGAACCAGGATCAAGGTTTCATGGAATACTGTGTGGCATTTGTTTCAGACAGCAAATTAGTTTGTTGGCAAATGGCAAAACTGGATTTTTAGGGCACTGCAATTAACAGGATTATAACAGGATTATAACAAGTGTACAAAGGAAGACCTACATAAGAAAAAACACCTATGGCATTCCTGGAGGGAGAGTCATTCCATTTATTTGGTTGCACAATAAAACATCAACAGTAAAAGTAATTACAAACATTTAATATATAAAATGTCAAGGGTGCTTCCCAGCCAAGGAAGATAATTAAGTATTTATTCTCTATAGCTCTGGATATCTATCCACACCAATCTCATGCCTAGGCAGCTATTCCCAGCCCTGCGCTCTAGGGAGCATTTGCAGCAACAGGGGGCCACTCTCACACCACCAGCTTATGTACCTTCCTCCGACAGATGCACACAGCCAGAAATTGCGCCTGCGTGGAAACTTTCTCTGTGCCCCCCATTTCAATTTTCTCCTGGCTCTGGGAGACAGTGGTGCAGGAATGGGTGGGGAAGCACCGGGCCCTTCACTTGCCTGACCTACCTCTTCCTCCAGCTCTGAAGTTTCCCCTGCCTCTGATCCTTGCCTCCCAGCTCATGCAGATCCCCACAAACCACTGCCCCCCTCTCCCATAGAATCATAGAATCATAGAGTTGGAATAGACCGCAAGGGCCATCGAGTCCAACCCCCTGCCAAGCAGGAAACACCATCAGAACACTCCTGACATATGGTTGTCAAGCCTCTGCTTAAAGACCTCCAAAGAAGGAGACTCCACCACACTCCTTGGCAGCAAATTCCACTGTCGAACAGCTCTTACTGTCAGGAAGTTCTTCCTAATGTTTAGGTGGAATCTTCTTTCTTGTAGTTTGGATCCATTGCTACGTGTCCGCTTCTTTGGAGCAGCAGTAAACAACCTTTCTCCCTCCACTATACGACATCCTTTTATATATTTGAACATGGCTATCATATCACCCCTTAACTTCCTCTTCTCCAGGCTAAACATGCCCAGCTCCCTTAGCCGTTCCTCATAAGGCATCATTTCCAGGCTTTTGACCATTTTGGTTGCCCTCCTCTGGACACGTTCCAGTTTGTCAGTGTCCTTCTTGAACTGTGGTGCCCAGAACTGGACACAGTACTCCATGTTAGACTTCAGCCCCCTTGCTCCAGGGCCCACTCGTCAGGGGCCCACCAGTCCCTCACATCAAATGATGGAAACAGTTGAATTATAGAAACTGAATTATAGAAATTATAGAAAGTTGATTGGGGGATATCTTAGTACACTGCAAGTGTAACATTGGTAAGGAAAAAAGTAATTCACATAAACGCTAGTGTAGCCTGAACTGGCAGTGAATGAGCTTGGGGTGGATAATTTGATGAAAATGTTAACCCAGTGTGTGGCAGCTGCGGAAAATACAAATTCCATGTTAGGGATAATTAGGAAGGGGGTGGAAAATAAAACTGCCAATATCCTAATGTCATATTATAAATCCATGGTGTACATCTAGAACGCTGTGTACATTTCTGGGAACCTCTCCTCAAAAGAGATATTGTAGCACTGGAAAAGGTTCAGGAAAGGTGAACAAATATTTGGGTCAAAACAAAAAAAATTCCTTCCAGTAGCACCTTAAAGACCAACTAAGTTAGTTCTTGGTATGAGCTTTCGTGTGCATGCACACTTCTTCAGATATTTGGGTGTTTTTAGTTTAGAGAAGAGGGGACATTATATAGGTGTATAAAATTATGTATTATGCTGCAGAAGCGGTGGCAGAGAGGTTTTTCTTTTTCTTTTTAAATATTAAAACCTGGTGTCATTAAAGGAAGCTGAAAGTTGGAAGGTTCAAGTCCTTTTCACACATTCCATCACTTGGCTGTGGAATTTGTTACCCTAAGGCAGAGTGATGGCCAACAACTTGGATGACCTGAAAGGGTGGGGTGGACAAATGCATGGAGGATAAGGCTGTGAATGTCTACCAGCCGCAGTAGCATTCTCCTAGTGTCAGAAGTCATATGCCTCTGAACGCTAGTTGCTGGGAATCACAAGAAGGAAAAGTGCTGTGGCACTCATGTCCTGCTTTCAGGCTTCCCACAGGCATCTGGTTGGCTACTGTGAGAACAGGGTGCTGGATTAGATGGTCTTTTGGTGGATGGCGCTGTGGGTTAAACCACAGAGCCTAGGGCTTGCCGATCAGAAGGTCGGCGGTTCGAATCCCCGTGACAGGGTGAGCTCCCGTTGCTCAGTCCCAGCTCCTGCCAACCTAGCAGTTCAAAAGCACGAAGTGCAAGTAGATAAATAAGTACCGCTCCGGCGGTAAGGTAAATGGCATTTCCGTGTGCTGCTCTGGTTCGCCAGAAGCGGCTTAGTCATGCTGGCCACATGACCCGGAAGCTGTACTCTGGCTCACTCGGCCAATAAAGCAAGATGAGCCCTGCAACCCCAGAGTCGTCCGCGACTGGACCTAATGGTCAGGGGTCTCTTTACCTTTACCTGGCCTGACCTAGCGTAGTTTCCACCCCCCCGAAGGTGCTACTGAGAGGAAGCAAAAGTGTGTGTAGAGTAAGAAATGATAGTCAGGTATCAGGTTGCCAGACAGTAGTTTCCTACTATGTGCCAGTTTTGTGGGAAATAAACCCTTATTCATTTATTTTTATTACTTGAAATATTTATATATACACCATATTTCTCTGGGACTAGTTACAGGGTGTTTTATGCAATTAAAATATCAAAGCAGCACACACACACACACTTTTATTTATTGTTGATGGCTATTTTAGTTACCTGTTTTTTCATGTTGTAAGCTGCCCTGAGCATGGTTTTATCTATCAAAGTCAGCATACAAATAAAAGGATGTATGTATGCATTTATGAATACATATGTGTGTATGCAACTGCAGCGTCTCCTTGCCATTTCCTTGAAAGCAGCTACTTTGCAATGGTTGACTCTGTAATCATTTATTTCTGCTGGAATTGTTTTCTGGTTTTTAGAGGTAGCTTTCACTTTTGCACTTGCCAATAGGAGACAGCTCAAGTATATTCAAAGTGCAAATGTTTGTTTAATCTCTCATATTGCTTTTCTGATTCTTTGCCCATTTCAAAGTTGGAAGAATTGCAGCATCCCGTTTTGCAGGGTTGTAGAGAATTGTGCAGTAGGCCTCATCCTTTGCACACTTACCTGAACCTAATTAGACTTAGTTTAGAGTAGACACTGAAAGAGCTTCTTTTACAGTCTCTTGCATCATTCACCACAGCAATCAAATACACGGGAATGGATTTGGAGTGACTCAGTGCTGCTCTATGAACACTAAGATTGCAAATTGCAACTCCTTCATTTCCTGATGCAGAAAATGAGGCAACTCTAGTTTTTGCTGACCGTTCCCACTTCACTCCTAATGTCCGCTCTTCCCGTACATCATGCTGTTGACACCCACAGAGTCCAGCTCAAGATGGTGATGCACTGAAGAGAGTTACAAATATAAACATGAATGTACAGGGTTTACTTCTTATTATAGTTAATATTTTTGTAATAATTTCTAGAGAGGTAGCCTTGTTAGTTTGTTGCAGCAAAGTCTAGTCTGGTGACACCTTAAAGATTTAATATTTACACATTTAAAATTTATTACAGTATGATGATTTGCTCTTCAAGGTATCATAAGACACTTGGGTATTTTTGTGTACCTGACAGACTCTGTTGTGCAAAGCTGCTGCAGAGATGAGCTCACTTTGGGTTTTATAATGTAAGGAGCCCTTGTCCAAGCTCTGATGTCAGTAATTCCAGCTTCAAAAACCGGATGAGATTCCAATGCTGTCCATTTTACCGCTTCTTCGGGACTGGAACAGGACTCTGATTTTTGTGGTTTTAGAGCCATCTGCTGGCCAGGATTCATGCTCGTAAATGTGCAATAGTCAGAGTTTGGGAAAACCTACACAGGAAAGTCAGGTCCATGTTTTGGAGATCTGGAGCTATGAAGCAGATTTTCTGTAGCTTGCTTAAATACATATTAGAATTGGGAGACCATCTGTATCCACATGCATTCTCCCCCAAAAAAAGTTCATTAAAAAAAACTACAGACAAAAAAAACACTTCAGAAGCCGTGTAGAATTTTCCTGACAACCACAGCAAAGAAAAAAACCACAATATATAGTGTACATAGATTGTTCCTTTTAAGATAAGAGTACTGTATAACAAAATCCATGATAAACAATAGCTTCAAAATACAAAGAACACAGGCGTTTTGATTGAAGAATATAGTTTAAGAGCCCACATGCCTCCTGAGCCAACTGTGAAGTAATGAGCGTCTTAGGAAATTACTAAGAGTCTGGGTGGTGCAATGTCATTTAATGTAAAGAATTACTATCTGAAGTTGCTTTTTTCCTGCTTCCTCCTTGGCATCATGTCTATTAGATTATCAGCTTGTGGACGGGGACATTGTTGCTTTTAAATTTTTGTACGGCACTTAAAAACTTTAGGCATTTTATAAATAATAATAAAAATAGTTATTAATTTTTTTAAAAGAGTGATCCAGCAAAGGTGGGGGAAAGTGAGACACTCAAGTGACTTAATGCTCAAACTACGTGATAATTTTCTGTTCTTCTAAACTCAATGGCATACAAGTGAATTGTGACTAGTGAGGGATGTTGGGAGTTGTAGACCATGGAGGAGGGTCACAGGTTCTCTACCTTTCCTTCATGCATTCAGTTTAGTAGCTGGAAGTAGCAACCAAATCAATTTTATTCTTTTTAAAGCCAGTACCTGGCCATCTAGCACCAAACATATCCTGCAAATTTGAGCCTGTAGGAGACTTTGACAATTTTGCTGCTTGACGTTGTGCTGGAATGAGGAGTGTATGAGTTCAACAGTCTTGTTTGCCTCTCTCTTCCTAACAGGACCTCCTGGGCAGATGGAGTTTGTTGACTGGTTAAATCTCCCTGAACAAGCACTGCTGGTTGTAAAGAGACTTGTTGAAGCTTTGGAAAAAGAAGGTATAAGAAAAAACTCTGTTGCTGCTAGATTCATTGTTGCTGTTGTTTGACATTCCACATCCTAAACTGCTGATCCGTATATAATGTTTGCTATTAGTATATATGCAAATTCCAGAGAAGCAGTGGCCTTTGTAAAGAGGAGGCAGCTGGCTCATTATTTCTGCCCCTTTGGACAGTGCCCAGTTGGTTCCCTACTTTCAGCCCAAGGGCCAGGTCCAACCCGGGCCAACCTTCCAGGGGCCGCATCCTGATAGTGGGCAGTGCTAGAGGCAAAAGTGGACGGGGTCAGAATATTGTGACTGAAATGCAGTTGTTCAAGGAATAAATTATTCAGTTTATAAAGGGTGTGTGTATAAATATAATTGGACCCTTTCTCTTGGTGATGTAATTTCACTGCCTGGAACTTCTTCAAGGCCCCCTTGATTAGTTGACCATTTTTGAATGGTAAGAAAATCTTACTGTGTTTCTCTCTCCCCCCCCCCCCCCCATTTCTGTTGCATTTACAGGCTTAGATAACGAAGCCCTTTACCGATCACCTCCCAGTTCCTTTTGCGACGCTCAACTCAAGCAGCATCTGCTGACAGGTAAGACATGGCTTTGGGGGTTCTATGCAGAAAGCAGCATTCAAGCAGTAAGGTTCCAAAAAAAACCCCTCCAAAGTGGAGTTCTCTCCCTGTTGTGAAGAACACAAGCCTTCTGAGTACAGTGGTACCTCAGGTTACATATGCTTCAGGTTACAGACTCCGCTAACCCAGAAATAGTACCTTGGGTTAAGAACATTGCTTCTGGATGAGAACAGAAATTGTGCTCTGGCAGCGCAACAGCAGCAGGAGGCCCCATTAGCTATAGTGGTGCTTCAGGTTAAGAACAGTTTCAGGGTAAGAACGGACCTCCGGAACGAATTAAGTACTTAACCCGAGGTACCACTGTATAGGGACCACTTATGAACATGGACCACGAGGAGTTAATGGATGTAGATCTGAATTGTGTAGTGCTTATGAAGTCCTCTGCATTGGGTTAAAGGACTAAATTCTATTCTTGGTGCCAGTGCAATCATCAGGGTGATACTGTCTATTCCGCAGAACCTCTTGGGTCACTCTTGTAGCAAGGGGAGCCCACTGCAGGAGCTAAGGGGAGCCCCAGCTGATGAACCACCTCTTTTTCAGCTGACAAAGCATCAAAGCAAGTTAAGTAGCTGGGTGAGTTTAGCAGCAGGGCAAGGAGGCCAGGGCACACTACTCTGGGCACACCACTCCTCTCCATGACCTAAGCTTCTAATAAAGTAACTTAAGAAACTCCCCCCCCCCCAAAAAAAGCTAGCAGGTGTTGTGGGCTTTCCAATGTCCTGCACTGTCTGTCATATGTACTGTCATGAGCCTGTAGCACTGTTGGAATCAGGCTTGGATTTGCTGGCTCAGATGGAGAAGGAAGAAGAAACAGAGGGGAGGATTCTACTGTTGGAACCTGGGTTGGAGGAAGGGGGAACCTCCCCTTCCCGCCCCAATTTCATCCACTTTGGAAAGCGAAGTGGGCCCTCTCCACCGACCCTCCCTCAGTGGACTCTGGGGCGGGTTCTGATCAGCCCATGATGGAGGCTGAACAGGGGGAGGACTACTGGACTAGAGATAGAATAGGAGTGTAAAGCCTTCACAGATGGGAGCAGACACACCTACCCTGATGCAGTGTGCACTTGCAAGCTCAACATTCCCACGAGGCGAGAGAGTCTCATGGGGAGTGCACCATGCCTTGTCTTTTAAAACTTGGTGGCAGAGGTGGGGAAGCTTATTGGGACATCTTTGTCACTTCCATCCAGTTCTGAACTTCTTGTCCTGTACCTGAACCCTTGAATCCTGACCCATGAGCTTGGAGTGGTTCAAAAATGCAATATCAGAAGCTCAACTGGAGCGTATGGTTCAGATCAGGAGAGGTGCCACCAGGACCAAGAGGATGCCCTCTTTATTATAATTAAAGGTGTGCTGAAGGGGAAATTGCAGAGAAGCTGAATGAATTTTTTTTATTTATTTTTTTGCATCTGTCATCACAGCAGAAGATACAGGGCAGATAGGGATCTGAACTAACTTTCCAGGAAAGGGAGTCTGGGGAACAGAGGGAAACAGTGGTGGCAAGAGGTGAAGTTCTAGGCCTAATAGAGAAAACAAAAACTGACGAATCTCTGGGTCCCGATGTATCCGCCTGAGAGTTCTCAAAGAACTCAAATGTGAAATTGCTGACACACATACACTGTTTGCTTGTTTGCTGGATTTCTCTCTTGCCCTTCCTCCCGAAGGATTTGGGGTTTTGAAAATCTGTACATACCTTCTTGCTGCATAGTAAATTCTGTTTTTGAATCATTTGGCCACAAGATGGCACTGTGGCACCAGGCAGTGTAGAAGACAGCTCCGTTCCTGGCTTACTGTGTTTGTGAAGGAGGCAGCGTGATGCTTTGTAGCATGCTGATCCACCCTCCTGTTACCTGCGCTGGTTCCTCTCCGGTCTGTTGCCTTTGAGCGGGTGCTGTTTGCAATGATGGGGAGGATGCGGTGTCAGACTCAAGCAGCCAGGCTCTCTGACAGCACAAGCCCAGAGGCTGTCACGCCAGGACGTGTTGCTATGGAGAGGAATCTGACGGGATATCTATATAAAGAAACATGAGCTCATCCATCCTCAGCAGAACTAAGAAGCCAAGTCCCGAGGTACCTTATTGTCTGTAGCGAGGCACACTAGAAGCGGCTGCGAATGTTCTCACATTCAGCTGGAGAATGAAACATGGGCAATGTGTCTTATCATCTGCAGGCCAAGCCGCAAAAACAATTTCCAGGCTATATCTGTATCTCAGAACCTTCTAGTCCAGGTACATGTTAAAGGCATGCAGCTGGTATTTTTTTAAAAACAACAACAACAACAAATTTACCCCCCCCCACGTCAACCTGTGGGTTCCTCCCAAGATTCAGTAGGGGGAGCCATGACAGTTAAACTGGTGCAAAAATTATGATGGGTTGCATGATATAGGAACACATGCAGCAGTGGGCCATGGTAAGAGCTGGTGGTGTGTGGGACCATAGACAGGCAGACTGACACCTGTACACAAAGATCATGGGCACTTGGGGAGAGCTGTCCCCACCTGCCTTCATCACCACCACAATTGCATTCCCCACCCCAGCTTGCCTAAACAGCTGTGGGGCCGAGGGATTCATAGCTTACATAGGGAGGAAGACACATGGGCGCAGGGGACAGTTCGGTGGCAAGAGGGTTTGAGTGGGTACCCATGGTGTGCCACAGTTGAGGGCCTGGGAAAGCTGCATGCAGCCAATGACCTGAAGCTTGTCCACGTGTGGCACAGATCCACCCCTTGAGGGCAAAGGACCACCCCTTTATGCACACAAGAGTTGCTGAACTAGGACATAAGAGGTTAGAGCTTTATTCCATTGCCCCCAAATTAAAAATTGTGAATATTAAATATAAGCTTCTTGTCATTGTGTATCAGTTTGTTTCCTTTTTTTCAACACATCTCCACGGTAGCCACAGAAAAACAATTTGCTCGTATCAGGCTTTGAAATACTATTTTAAACAAAATCTGAGCATCTGGGTGATTGACTGGCTGCTGTCAATGCTGACCTCAAGTGGAAACAAAAGACCTTGTTCCAGCCATTACGGTTCACTCTCAATATAGTGTTTGGAAGCAACGGGATAGATCCTGGACTCATTCCTGTGGCTATCTGCTTATGAAAGTGTTTTGTGCAAATGAGCCATCCTTGCAGCCTGCTTTTGGAGATAGTCCTGTGAACCGTGAAAGTATTCCTGACAGTTGGCAGTCTTGGGATTGTCTATGAACAAGTTGCTTAGATGACCAGTTATAAATGCCTTCAAAGTTATGAAGCCACAGAAATCGCTTCAGCTGCAAAATATTACATTAGAACAGGCCTTGTGTTAGTTTTTTCTTTGCTGAAGCTGAATGTCTCAGTTCAGTTGTGCTGAATTTGTGCAGCTGATTTCCACTTTGATATGCAAGGCAACTCGGCTAATTAAAGTCAACTTGAATGAATTCAATGAATTTTGACCTCGTTAAATAAGGAAATTAAGTGTACTCAGTGAAGCTGAGTTATGTGTGAACATTCCCAGGGACAATGCAAGTTTTCCAATGGAAAGTCGACTTAAGACATCTGGTGAATGAATTTGCAGCTGCAAATTATGAAAGTCAGGGTTTCTGTTGTTATTTTCTCTACATCCAGTCCTCACTTTTGTTCAACCTGGGTGCATTGCACTGACACAATATTTATTCCAAGCTGAGGCCCACACACAAACACTTTCATCCACATGAAACTATTGATCTAAGACCCAGAACAAGAGCATGTGTGTCTTAAAGTTAGCACTTTCATGCTATGTGCACAGGTTTCTTGTTAATTCACTTCACTCTTAACATACTTCAGGTACTGGAGATGATGTTTGCCTTGCAAAAGTATGGTGGTTGTTTTTTGTGTTGCCATTAATATAGATTGCTAAATCAGCCATGAAATGGGATACATTTTTTTGCAGAATAATTTCCCCCTTGGGTTATCATGGAGATAACTGTGTATGTGTTGTTTTCTCCTGTAAGGGAAAAAGTAATAATCCATATGCATAACAGAGGTATGTGCCAAGTTGCCTATAGAACCTCTTATCTCTCTAGGACAGGCAGGTAGGGAACCCTATCACTCTCCAGATTCCTAACATCTCTGACCATTGGCCATTGTACCACAAGTTCCCCTGCCACTGCTCTAGAATAATGGATAGATGTGCCTCTCCTGCCCCAACCACACATGACACTTCACAAGCACCATTATAGTAGAAGCAATCATTTTCCAGCTGTTCACCTTACCTAGCCAAGCGGGAGCCTTGTTGTGCTATCTAACATGGCTGCCATTTTGAATAATGCACTTCCTGCTTCTTTGCTGCCTCATTCCAATTGGCAACTCAAAGGAGGTGAGGCAGTCAATGTAGTGTTGTATGGGATGGGGAAATGGAGCTGACTGTCTCCTTCAATTTGAAAGTCAGTTGGGTGGAAAGGTCTTCTCTAACTCCACTATCACTTTTCATACTCCTCCCCGAAGCCCTCAGAAACTGCCTTACCCAAACATGACTAACTAGCAGAGGGATTTTGAGCTGTAATCTGGCACAAAAACTAACTGTACTGTAGTGTCTATAATGATTTTAATTCTTCTTCCCCCACCAGCAAGAGGTTGGCTTCTGAGACATCTTGCTAATTTTGGTTCCTCTAATTTGACCCTAAACCCTTGATACCATCAATGTAGGACGAGTTAATGTTACATAGTTGGGCCCTTGTGTGAGAGAGGCTGCCTTGGGTGCATTGCTGGGCCCTTGTGTGAGAGAGGCGGCCTTACTGTCTCTCTGGAATGTGAATTATAGTAATTACTGAGGTCTCCTCTGTCCTCAGTTGGCTGTTGCTGTGATTCCCTAGGACCCTCCTTGTAAAAGAAGCTAGAATAGATGTTTACACTAGTGGCTGATAATGATATGTGTGTAATTGCGGTACATTTTCATATCCAAGTGGCGTGATGCTAGACGCACAAAATCAAATGCCACCATC